ATGGACTCTCGGCTGTAGTGGCACTGCTGCTTGCCCTCTTGCGGCTGGAACTATTCACTGGACTGTTCCCAAACACATCTGCATCACTTCCTACAGGACTCCAAGCAGCAGCCCTAGAAACCTCAACCGTGTCATCCCCTACAACATCATATGCTTGCTGTTTAGGGGTGCATGAAGATGACACATGTGGCAGAACCTCCTAAAAAATCAGGCCCACGTGCACCTATCGATGTCTCAACAGACCTCAGATAGCGTACACAAGTTCTCAACAACTTAACAGATCTGTCGGGTGTCCTCGGGAAACCTGAATCATCCACGAATCTTTTTCAAACAGGATCCCAATCACAGTCATTGTAGATTACAACTGTTTTCAATATACATACTAGAGATTATAAAGCGGAAGACTTTAAGTTTTAATATTACAAACCAGTTGTTTCAAACTTACATAACCATAAGTGTCATACAACCATAGTAGCGGGATAATATTACATTAACATTATTTATTTCACACAAACTAGTGCCTTGTCCAAAGACCATTCATCATTCCTCATCGTCATCGACTTCAAACACTGACATGCAACAGGGACCAAAACAAGCCTGCGCATGCGACTCACCTGCAACAAGGGTTAACAAACCCTGAGTACAAAAGTACTCAACAAGACTGACCCGACCAAAAAGGGTGAAGGTCTTAGGGATGCAGGTGTTGGGTCAAGGTAAGGATGTAGAAGGATTCAAAAGTTCTTTGCCAAAAGATTACTATTCTTGATCCTAGTTTCAAGTTTTACCCCTAAGTACTTTAGTTCAATATCTCCAACTAAGTGTTCATATCCCATGTTCCAATCCTTCTCATTCTATTCTTTTTCCCATGTTTTAGTAATTCACCAGTCCTACATTGCTTCTGTAATGAATCGACTCTCCATATCCGTGGAGCACCGGCAATTCGAATTGATTTAAGTCCCAGCTGGGGATTCCTTATCACACGACATATGTAGAACTAAATCTTGCATATATCAACCTCGCTATCGGATCCTCCCGTACTAAGCTGTCTCCACGCCACCCGAGAGCACAGCACACCTCAAATCCGGCCACATTCAAGCCACGAGGGTACACGCTACTCCCGTCATCTCACCACTCCCAGTGCGTGGGCATTCGTCTTAGTATTGGATTAGCCGAAGTAGGCTTACCGGAGTATGTGACCAGTACTACAAAGTGTCTCATTCAGAAGATCCACAATGAGTGGCCTTTAAGCGACATAGTCGGCAACATTACCCAACATTCAAGATAAGTCACCCGACTAGTCTCTAGTTCATTCTATCTTCTTTATTTCTTTGGCCAGAATGCCATCTTTGATTGTATCGAAACTTTTACTTTGAAAGCCTACCATAAAGCATACTAAGCATTCTACGCCTTTGTAAATGAAATCATCTTCAAGGATGGTAAACAATTAACAAGGTAGGCAATGCATCAAGTAGGTAACATTTGAATTAATCAACTTAATGCAATAGGTAACATAGTTGATAAACTTTTCAAAGTAAACAAGGTAATGGTTTAATGCATAAACCGGGGCTTGCCTTCGTTGACGATCTCAGGTTCCAGATCAGCACCACTATTATCGAATCCCGTGACAACCGGGGATTCTTCCAGAACTTGCTCAACTAGAATCGGTTCACTCTCGGATTCTACACGAAATAATAGCATATGCTTCAACATGATGATAATGTAAACATGATACTTTCATGGTGCATGAAATATAACAACACCTTGAATACAACTTTCCTTCACGGTACAGTTACAAGCCAAACTAACCAAACCATATTCGTAACGGATGTGACCATGTTAACACCGACCACTTCGGCGAGCTCTCCGACCACTTCGGTGAACTCTCCGACCACTACGGTGAACTCTCTGACCACTACTCTTGAAACCCTACTGGTCACAAAACATGATCAAAACAAGATCAAACACTAATCAAACACTTAGTGTTTGCTTTTATTTATTTTTGAATTAATTTGGAAATAAGCCCAAAAATTATCTTGTCCCAAATGACCTCAAAATTTTATGTAAGCTTCCTCATGACAAATTAGTGTACCAAAACAAATTTCAAAATTTTTGGAATTATACAGTGGCCTACAAAAATCATGGAAATTACATTTATTAATTAATGGACTGAATATTTGAACATTAAAAATTTATTCAAATTTCAAGTTTCAAAATTTTAAACCATACCAGAGCATGTACAGAGGCTACACACAAAATTTTAGAATTTTTGGAGCTATGATTATTTTCCTACAAATTTCTAAAAATTCAGCACTATTCAAAATCAGAAAATAATAAAACCTCACTGTTCTTCTCCTTCCTTCTCACTTACAGCCCGACCCCACTCGTCAGTGACTCATACCAGTCACGGCGGCGCTGCCATCACTGGCCGGCCCAAAATGCGCCGACGGTGACGCTCCGACGAGGTAGACCGCACCCAAGTACTCTACACACTCCTACGAACCCATCCCCGCCCTTTGAATGACAAAAAATCGCACCGGAGAAGACTCCCCGCCGGCCATGGCGGCTTGAGCACGACGGCTCATGGCGTAACCCTGGTAATGGCGTAGTAGAGTCTAAAACAAAGTGAGTATCGCGTTCAGTAGCTCACCACGATCACGCCGGTACGTTTAGTGAAGACGAGACGCAGTGCAGAACGGCCCGCCACGTCGAGTCGATGGTGATGGTGGCGGAGCTCGGGAAGAAGACGGCTCGGGGAAGAGCCAACCAAAGCGACGGAGCAAGCCGCGAGCCAACCCAAGCGACGCGGGAGCAAGCGCAGAGCTGCTCGACGAGATACGCGGCGAGGCGATCGTGGTGTGGCGTAGGGAAAACGCTGGACGACGACGACGCTATTTATACTCGACGATGGTTACGGCGAGCGGCGGAGCGCCCGAACTCGGTGGTGGAACAGAGCGAGAGCGGGAAAAGCAGGGTGGCGGATACCATTGGCGGGTGGCGTTCAAATTTGGATTTTGAATTTTGCATTATTTATTTATAGCCGGAAGTGGTTACTCACAAATTTTCGTTGAAAATCTCCAAACATGAAAGTTGCTCAATTTTTCAAACTCTACAACTTTGCTTCAAGGAACATTTTCCTGGCCACGAAATTTGTCATCATTTGAGTAGAAAGCGGTTCAAAATTATTCCAAATTTTATATGGCTTTGAATACCAAAGTTGATCCTTATTAACTAAGCTTCAACTTTGCTTTTGTCACAACCCCAAATTCCAAATGGATTTTAAAATAGACAAAAGGGGCAAAATGACCTTTATAATTAGAATTTGAATTCAAATTTGAATTTTGCACTTTGATTTTACATGGCCCATTAATTGCCACATGATCACATGAATTTTAATTTGGGGCAAATTACTCATAAATTTTCTAAATAAAGTTGAAAATCTCCAAACATGAAAGTTGCTCAATTTTAATTTTCAAAAACTCTACAACTTTGCATCTCAAGGAACATTTTCAAATTCTGCCTCCATTTTGAAATTTGAATTTGGGGTGCATTTGAGTATTTGAAGTTTTCATTTCAAAATTATTCCAAATTTTATATGTAAACTTGTCAAAAACTTTGAATACCAAAGTTGATCCCATTATTAACTCAAGCTTAAAAGTTCTTTGCTTTTGTCACAACCCCAAATTCCAAATGGATTTTAAAATAGACAAAAATTGGGCAAAAATGACCTTTATAATTAGAATTTGAATTCAAATTTGATTTATTTACCTTTTGACTTAACTTTGATTTTTGACCAGTAACATGGTCCATTAGGGTTATTTGAGTCAATTAACACATGGTCTCACATGATCACATGAATTTTGACTCTTGGGGTCATGATCTTTATTTAGGGTTTTGAATCATATCACATAAAATAACAATATTATGAAATAAAGCTTATTTAGTGAATGCATTCAACATTTTCTACTTTATGAATGCTTTGCAATGCATATGATGACATGTTAAATTTTAATGATAGGTCAAAACACTAGAGATATGTTACAACCCATCTCCACCATGTGTCACACCTTGAAATGGAACATCTCAATTAGAAGAAAAAGTGCAAGTCAAAGCAAGACCGATCGAAAACATGGATTCGTTGTCGACTTGAAATTTTTCTTGCACTCTGCTTGTCCCTGAATGTGGATCCACGGATGAACACAACCGCCGATTGCCATTAGATCACATCATCGGCAGCTCGGGCGTGGAGGGTGAAAGTGGTGAGATCGCCTTTGCCGGCGAAGCGGCGGAGAAGGCCATGGCCGCCACGACCTCCATCCGCTTCTGTTGCTCTGGTTGGGGAAGACGCGAGGTGGGGGAAGGCGCGGCACAGGAATTCAAATCCAGTGTTCTCCCCTGCGCATGTGGGGAGGTGGCCGCCGACGAAGGGAGAAGGCGGGGCCTGGGAATAGAGGCCAAACTCGTCGGCGGCGATGAAGGCAGGATAAGCAGAGGAGCCGGATGCGGTGTAGGAAGAAACCGATGCCTGAGTGAAGAAATCCCGGTAGTGGTTGTATTGGCCGTCCATGGCGGATGCGCCGTGTGGAGGAGTGGGAGGGGCGGCGCCGGTGTGGGGAGGAACGGAGGTGGTGTCATGCGGGAGAGCGAGGCGGCGTCGGAGAGGAGTGTGAGCGAGATGATAAGGTTCGGGGAGAGTTCGAGCGAGTTTGAAGGGCATGGGCTAGAAAATTGGGCCACTAGTCCCAATTAGCACCTCTTAAGAGACTAGTGGATTATGGACTACTAATCTTTTTTTAGTCCTTTTATTTAGCAATTTAGAGACTAAAATAGGCTACAATCTAGTCTCTAGTGATAAGGAACCAAGGAGGGCCTTAGTATCAGGGTCCTTAAAGCCGAAGGTTTGAATTAAAAAAAATAAAAAAATAAAAAAAAACTCATACCACGCCGCTCACACTGCAGAACCCTCTCACGCCGTTTCCTCCCCCTGCCGATCGAGGAATCCAATGGCGCAAGCGGCGAGGCCACCGTCGTGGCACCCACCGAACCCTAGCCTAGCCGGCACCTTCCGGCTGGCGCCGGCTGCTCGCCGTCCCGACACGCCGCGGAGGGCCGCGCAGGTGATCGGCTCTTTCCCCACCCCGCGTGAGGGCACCGCTTTTCCCCAAATCTTCCTGGCGATCGCGGTTGCAGTCTATTATGGGGTTTTGTTGGGGTGGAGCGAAATGGGGTTTTTTCTTGAGATGATTTTGGTGTTTCTGTGCTCCGGGCGGGTTTTGTGGCGCCTGCTCGTGCGGGTTTAGTATTCTGAGGATTTTTTTTAAAAAAAGAAAAGAAGCAGAGCATCTTGTTGTTCGTCATGGCCCCGGCCAAAACTTCACGCAGTATCGCTTGGCTTTATTATGTGACATTGTGCTGTGTACTACTAATAGCTACCAAGTGGAATGGGGTTTTGCTGCGATCGAGTGGCTCACCAAGTTTCTGTTGGGTTCTTGATCTTTTTTATTTGTAATAGTTTTTGTGGATTGTTTTCGTTGCTGTGAAATTTACTGATGCGAGATAATTTGTTCCATTAGGTAGACAACGTCTCTGGTGTGATTCTGTTCTCACGTTTATGTTATGATGATTTCCCTCGCACATTATTGTCTTTATGAGGTCTACCTGCAGAGCGCCTCTGTCTCACTCGTTCGCTCCATATGATTTTTAGCATGTACTACTTAACTGATGAATTAAATGCTGTGCTACTTTCACCTCGTAAAGTTAGATTTGACTCGATTACACAGATGTTTGGTGTCAATATTTGTGTTATCTTCTATCATGCTTTGGAACACATACACCCTATCATGTATCTGAGATGGCCTTTCATTTGCCTCGCTCTACTACTCAGGACACACCTTGTGCAACATGTGGTGATGGTTCAGGGATTTTTACCCGTTGTCAGTGCAAGCAGTACCCAAGGTATTCGTAGGTCCCTTTCTTCTTACTGAATTTCGTGCTTGTATTCTGCACAGGCGATTTAATTATTTCATTGGTGCTTGTTTGTGGTTTGGTTGCCAAATTTCTCGAAGATATCCTCTTGATCAGTTGTGATTTGTGTTTATGCTTGTATATAAGTGCAAAGACGACTATTATATTGTTTTCTGAATGTCTACCATTTTCTTTTGGTGCATAAGTCTGAAAAGATCTGTGGATGTAGCTCCAAAACTCTACATGTACCTGATTCCTTATTTTGGAAGATAGAATATTGACATGTGAAATATTAGCATCTTCCGGCTTTTATACTTCCTACTATATTTCTCCAAAAGTAGAGGAATTCAGTGCATTACATCTGAACTTGGGAACTGTTGCATCGTAGCCATGTGCACATCTTTCTTCTATGTAGGCTCTAAGCGGATCATTCAAATAACTCTGTGGCATGAGTTATTGTTAAATTTTCATGCATTTCTTGTACATTGGCAGATCTTGAATTCTGTTATCTTAATTACAGCTGTATCGATATGAGAACGGTGATTTTTTTTTTCTGTTTTGGTTCATTCCAGACAGGAAGAAATTCATCACACTAATGGGTCAACTTCCAGAGCCAAGGGAATTCTAAGACCAGACTCTTCTGATAAGCTGAAGACTCCTAGATATTCTGGCGGTACATATTCAAAACCCGAGGCACGAGTGAAGCTGATTCCTGCAGAAGCCATTACTTATGTACAACATCGGAAACCATATGGTAGAACTGTTGGCTCAGCTGGGTCACAAAAAAGGCATTGCAGACGAAGTGTAACACCACCGCCAAGTTCACGTAAAGTATCTCTTGTGGGATCGACACCACTCACTCAAAAGCCTATGCCATCTGGTTCATCCAAGAACCCGTGTTTATTATCTTCTAAAAGACTTGGGCAAACTGAAAATGGACACCCATCTGCTGGGGAGCACATAAGTAGCTTTGTCACTCCCCGAATCGCATCTCTGAAGAACCCTGCATCACCAAATCGCAAATCTTCACAACCTTCCAGTGCTAATTTGAATACTGATGCTACTCCTAGAAATATTGACAGCATGGACATTACAAAGACACTCGCCGGGAGTTATGGTTCGAGTATTTTTCGTTCTCAGGACCAGAGTAGTCAAAAGCTGCCTGCTAGTTTACCAAAAGAGGCAGTGGTAAATCCTGTGTCTCCTAGTCCCAAGCAAGTGCGTGCTCCACATCCAAGTAAGGATCCTCTTGGTACAAAGGCAGAACCTTCTTCTAAGAGTGTAGGCACACCTGATAGTGGAAAGTTCTGTAATAGAATCATCAATTTAACTGCAAGTACTGCAGGTCCTGTCTTGCAAGCATTAACTGTGGAGCCTGCTTTGTTAAGCCCAACATCTGTGCTTAGTCAAAAGCCCATGGAGGTGTATCCAGATACAAGAGCTGCAGCTCCAATCAGGCAAGAACCAAGTGTGAAGCCTGTATTGCTGACCCCAATACCTGTTCACAGTGAAACTTCCACCGATGTATATTGTAATAGTAGATCAAGCCCTAATCCCAGCACAAATTTGTTGAACAAGAAAAGCAATCTGGCCACGCTGCAGCGCAAAGATATTTCTCCAATACATAGGCCACAGTCTATGGCTTCTACAGAGCATACTGCTTTGTCAAAAGAAAGAAACATGGTGGACAAAAACATTTCTCCGACACACAGCCAGTCCATGATTCATACACAACTTACTTCACTGTCAAAAGAGATTTCAGCAGCCTCAACTAATTGTGACAGATCTTCAGGTATACTAAGGATCCTAATATGTTATTGAGCGTAACTCTTGTGAAGATATGCACTCTCACCTATAGTTTTCACTTGCACATTTGAACGTGCTATATTGTTGAGGTTCATTTCATCCTTTTTTTTGTAGAATACGCAGGAGAGCACAAGAAGCATTATCAATCAGAGGCCCGTTGGATGTAAGGAATTGGCTTATTGTGCATTTCTTTCTTGCTTTGTGTATGCATATATGTATGGGGAGCCACAATTATTCTATGGATGGTTATGCATGTTTGATCTGTCCTTTCACCTGAGAATAGGCAAATTTCGTTTCTCTACTGCACTGTTACTTGTTGCAGTCCCTGAGTATATCTTGCAGCCAGCCAGCCAGTCATTCAGTAATAATATTTAACCCACAGACAATTTGAAATTCCAATGGCATAAACTCTTATACTTTTCAATAAGAACATAATCACTGACTGAGTGAGGGTAACACGTCACTGTATATTATAGTATTACTGAGCTGTTTGGGGCTGTCTCATGATTTTCAGTGATTGTTTGGAGCTATCTCATGACTGTAACAGGTGGAGAAGCTAATTCCTAGAACATTAATTGTCTACATCATGCTTCCTTCGGTTCAAAATAGATGTTGTTTAGGCTTTTTTGCTATTTTTAATTTTCAAAATACATATGGCTCTACAACTTCTATATAACTTTAGTATACTTTTCCTACTTTGCCCCTCCTTGATTTCATCATTAACTAACTACTTTTCCCATGTATCCCAAGCATGCATCATAATTAATAGGCACACTTTAGGAAGGATTAAATGAGGGTATAAAGTTAGGCATCCTTAGGCTACTACCGAACAGGCCCTAACTCTAAAATGACATCTATTTTGAACAAGAGGGAGATGTAATTATCTATGACCTGAACGTTGAAGCAATGCGATTATGTTTTCTTCTGTAATATGTAAGTGTCAATCCTTTTGCTCTAATAGTGATATGTTATGAAATCTGTAATATTATGCTATTTTACTATCTGCATACTTTTCTTTCAATCAAACACTAATATTAGGATTCCATGTTTCATGTAGGGGCAAATTTCATGTGTCTGGAGAGTTGACACATACTTGTGATGGACTTGAAGCCCATTGCCCAGCTGTGATGGACTGCAGAGCTTATGAAGCTTCAAAGCAAATGCCTGAAATTTTAAATTTAGAGGCTGTACCTCTTGACCAGCTGTGGCCAAAAAAGTTCAGGATGAAACCCCCGGACGATCAGGATATTAGACTATGGTTTATAAGCAGTCACCAAAGGTATATATGCCCTAGTAAGTGTAGTTTCTACTTGCAAGGAACGCCAGGAACAGTTCTGGTTAAGTAACTTTCAAGTTGCATATATGCCAGTTACACTTGTGTCAGTGATTAAGTTTCTTAAGGCTTGTGATCACATCTATAATAAATGGTAAAACGTTTAATCTGGTCTTAAAAATCATGCAAGTGTCTATATATTTAAAAAATCAAAACCTTGGTATTTAGGAATCTCTCTGAACCTGTGCACATGTCATGCATGTATCTTCTCTCTGATTAGCTTAACAATCGTTTATTACAGGCCACACAGGAGTTTTAATCATCTTGTTGACAAAGTTTCTTCTCATATTGGCCTGTTGACCAGCATTGGTGATGCTGAATTGGCGATATTTTCATCCAAGTTGCTCGCACCAGACTATCAGAGTATGTATGCATGTTCTTTTTTGAAGAGAATGTCTGCATGTTCTTGCAAACCTCTGTTTCCATCACTCATCCTTTTACTGTTCTAACATGATGAGTGTTTTTGCAAATCTGTTATTGTCTTCTCCCAAGCTTCTTTCTTTCTTGCTTGCATTTTTTTTTGCTAATATAGTACTTGGTGGATTTGTTTCTATCACTTGACTTGCACAGCACATGGAGTTTGCATGGACCTGTTTAAAATATTAAAGAGTTTTTATTATATCTTTGGAAAACTAGTGTGCAGGTATAAATTTGTCATCTGACTTCTAAACAATTATTACCATAATAGGGAAGAATGATGAATTGTATTTTTGGGGTGTCTTCGGGAAACATCTGAGGAAGAAGTGGCGTAAACCCAACAATCATATACAAAATGTTAACAGAAATTCCAGTCCACCAAATGAAATTTCTTGTGACAGATCTGAGGAGATAGGCATGAAATTGGATGCAATAAAAGGCAGGGAGAGACAGAATGCCATATCTGAAATTGGTGTGACATTGGATGCACGAGAAGGTGAAGAAATAGACAATACAATGCATGTCGCAAAAGACAGCGCTATAGTGAGGGACAATTATGAGGGGATTGCAGAGGCATTGGATTTAACAGGTGGCAAGGAGACTGATAGGGACAATGACTGCGTGGCAGTGCTCAGAACTCCTGATTCAAACCCTGCATCCAGTTGCACAGCTCCTGCTGCTTCACTTAACAGATGCTGCAGTCATGACTCTGCAAACAAGAACAATTTTAGTTTAGAAGGTTACACTATTCAACTGATTGCTCTAAGTCTTGTTTTGATCAATCCTCAGTTTCTGATTAAGCTTCTTACTTTCCATTTTTTTTACAGATTCTGCATGTCAACCTGCTGACAGATCTTCGGCTAGCTCAGAGCTTATGCTGGACATGCCCCCTGGGTTTTCTCTAGATGTGCCTCCTGGCTTCACAAAAGCTCACCGTCAGCTTCAGATCAAAGATACTCCAGTGTCTTATGCCGATGCTTTTACCAGTCTAGTCTTGGACTGTCCTCCAGGATTTCCTATTGATATTCCTCCTGGCTTTACTGAAGTTCACCGCCAGCTCCCTGCAATTTCTTCTGCTAGACCAGAAGCTGGTGTTTCTATCCATGGCACTGAAACGAAGCCTCTCATTAGGTTCTCTCTAAATGTTCCAAGGTCTGTTAAAATGGAAGATCCTCCTGGATTTACTGTGCATGCGGTGAAAAAGGAGCCTTGGTTGCCTGTTCATCAGATCACAGAGAAGCAAACTCCATCTCGTTTGACATCTGGTGCAATTTCTCGAAGGACATGCGATGTTGATGATGGCATATGAACCTTCTTGTATACGTGGGAAAGCCATGTTGTCTATTTGCATCCTAGCTTATCTGCACATTTGTGCATGCGAAATGCATGCATCTGCATGCTTTTCTCAGGCACTCACACTTTTATTTGGCATCGGAGGGGGTACTTAAAAAGATTCGTCGTTTTGAATGTACTGGTAAAAATGGAACAAGATGAAATTTCAGAGGAGCGAGAGTTTCCAAAGATCAGGCGGCTTTCAGACCTGTATCCCGGGCCTTCGGACGACAGCACCGAAGTTTGCGGACCAGTATCGGCACACTTGACTGAGAAGTTTCACGATACAGGCGCACATGAGAAACAGACGCATCCAAGAAAGAGAGGCCGGCAAGAATCACCGGAGCGTTGGGGGGGGGGTCCATGACCCAACCAGTGACAAGAAACAGAGTTGTACGAACTCTGGACCTTTGGTTCCATGGGACTACACAGTACTTCCTTCATTTTAATCATATTTAGTCCCTAAATTGTTAAACAGGGGACTAAAAGAAACTAAACTAAATGGCATAGATTTGTGCATGTTTGTGATCCATGACCCAACCAGTGACAAGAAACAGAGTTGTACGAACTCTGGACCTTTGGTTCCATGGGACTACACAGTACTTCCTTCATTTTAATCATATTTAGTCCCTAAATTGTTAAACAGGGGACTAAAAGAGAGACTAAAGGCAGGTAGTCCCTTTTAGAGGTGGGTATTTGAGACTACAGAGCCCAAAAGGACAGTCCATGCCCCCTTTTTATTGCGTCAGGACCACAAGGAATATGGGTATCCTGGTCTTTGTTCAACTGTTTTAATAGCCTTTTAGTCCCTTTAACCAAACAGTGTAGGGACTACGATTTAGTTCCTGCTTTGGTCTTTAGTCTCTAGTCCCACAAAGGCCATGTTCTTTTCTCTAGTCACAGGACTAGAGACTAAAACAGGAACTAAACTTTAGTCTCCAACCCTGTTTAGTTCAAGGGTATTAAAGCTGCTGAACAAAGACTAAAATACCCTTGAGAAGGGTGGGGGACTGAGAGGGGTGGGGATCGGTGAGGGGCATGGGGTGTCAATTTAGCCCCATAAATCCCAATAAGCCTCATCCTAAGGAACTTATGCCTTTTAATCTCTAGTCTCTGTTTTAGTCCCTCCTGTTTGGTTAAAAAGGATTAAAATTTAGTCTCTAATATCTATTCTCGTGGAAACAAATAGGTCCAAATAGTTTCTGTTCTAGTCTCTGTTCCTTAACCAAACAGGTCCTCTGGCTAGCTAGCTACTACTGTTCTGTGTTGTGCGCAGTGTGCATGACGTTGTCCTCGAAAAAGCCTGCAAGAAAGAGAGGCCGACAAGGCGACAAGAATCACCGGAGCGTTCTACTGCAGAGAATTGAGCTCCGATTTAAGGTCAAATAAATAAAAAATGACAAAAATGTGATGATGCATTCTTAGCATAAATATTTATATATTTTTCGAAGGTAGTCACGTTTTTGGGACCAGTACTGCAGAATTTCTCCGACGAAGGTCAATGGAATGGTAATGTGAGATGCATCTGCGCTTATTTCGAAGGCCGCACGTTATTGCCAACATTCTGACGGGAGCTGTAGGAGAGCCAATTGGAGAACGCCACCTGGCCGGAACAGGGACGGGAACAGGGAAGCTCCATCCGATGAGTGTAAACTCATGCCCTACAACTGCCGATAACTCATTTTCAAGTAAGCACGAGTTCAAAACAGTTATGGTAATATTTTTTCAGTTTGTGGCACCACATAATACTAGTCTAATTTAGATACAGAAGTTGTCATAGCAATCGGTTTGGGCTAAACTAGCGAGGGCTAGGTCGTCCGGGCTGCACACAACCAAGATACTTAGAGGAGGGAGGTTTAAATGGTGAGCCCGACTAGCAAACCGGCGAGTCTGATTTCACGCTCGTTCTTCTCTTGAAAGACCCGCGAACATCTTCCTGGAAGACTCGTCGGGGACGAGTGCAGCAGGGTTGTCCTGATCAGCAAGAGCACCTAGGACGCTGACAAATCTCGTTGAAAGAAGTGCTAGACAGTAAGAGGGTTAAAATAGTTTGAAATGGAAGACAAAAAAAAAGATAGATTGGTTTTTGTCCTCTGGATAGATTACTCAATAGTCCATGTTCCTCTCGTATAATTAAATAGAGAGGGTGATCTTATCATGATAGAAAACTTATTACACACGTAATTTTATAAGATCAAATGAGTTTCAAAAGAAAATCATCAACATCCTTTCCCGCCTAGCTCCAGCAGCACACAGTACGACCTCTGCCCTCCACCACCATCAATGCTACTCGATTGAAGCTCGCCGCCCTCACCTCACGCCTCCATTTCCCAACAGTTATCCACCATCACTCGGTCGATGCCCCTACCACCTCGCCATCTTCCAAAGTCTGCTACCACCTCCAGATTGGTAATAAGCTCCTCAACAACCCACAAAGTTCAATAGTCACGAGCAAGGGCAACTTCTACGGAAGAGCCGTACCAAGTATATTTTTTTATGAGAAGTTATTTTTTGGTGAACAGCAGAGGAGCCAAAACCATCTTTAGATGAGGAGCCGAATGTGCGAAAAGTGAATCCTCTTCAAGTGTTCCGGCCAGTGGCGGAGCCACAGGTATGTCAGGTGAAACATCCTCAATTTTCCTTGAAGGGAAAATCCACAGAATGAATTTTAATATGATAAAACCAAGAACTGATTCCATCATATTATCATATTTCAGTCGATGTCACAGTCATACATCGTAAGATTACAAGAATACAAGATATTACATCACTGGGGAACACACCTATTACGAGCGTAGGCACGAGACCTCCTAATCCTTCTAAAGTCAGCATCTCTGAGAAGCAGGAAATCTGCACACCGCCAGATGTGTGCAGGCCATGGTCAGCACCGATGAGCTTTAGTGGAAAAGATAAACAAGGGATCTGGCGATCCTAATATTTGGCTGTGGTTTGCATCCTTAGCGCATGAGAAGTAAATAACAATAGTAATATAATAATAATATCCAATTTGTAACACATTTACCACCACACCATCCATATCCACCCACCAACCATCCATCCCAAACCATCTCCACACCACCACACCATATCTCATCTCACACACTCAGGTCGACAGGCCAACTCCGTCTCGGCCTTGTCTCAACGGCCCGCAGCCCCCAAGGCTCACGACCGGAAAATACCCTAACCCTGGAGGGAGAAAAGAAGGACTCATCTCCTATCTAGTTTAAGCGGAACCCAGGAAAGGTCCATAGCCGACAAGTTGGCATATGTATCGATCAATCAACCATACACTCTGCAGAGGTTTTACATACCCACAAGATTAGCCATCCTCGGAGCCATGTATCTCCTAGGTAGAATTCCAGTCGCTTGCTAGCCTAGAACGATGCCACCCTACCTCTCAGCCCTGGAACATCCCAAGTCTAGTCTGGGATGGCTGATACTGTGAGTCATAGACAGAGCCGGGGCCCTCCGGATGTCAAGAGCCAGGTCCACAAGGCCTCCTGAAGTCTTGGAAGGGTGTGGGGGAAAACCACGCGCCCCGTACCTCCTTGCACACGTTCGCCTAGCAGTAGTGGCATCGCTCTACCAAGTAGTCCGACCGTCCCGCACCATATAGGGCGAGTGGGATGTATAGGATTCCCGGTGAATCTGAGTACTAGTAAGTCCTTAGGGATGACCAAGCCAGAATGTCTTCATCAGGGTTTCCATTTTACGTGACACCACAGCACCTCTACCCCGGGCTCCACCTCTCCGAGGTTCACACCTAAGGCCACCTCCAATTACCATTTACCTGCTACAGGTATTCCATATCCAAGTGCCCAGGTAGCACCACATGGCAAGACTCGCCCCAGGCTCGTCGTTATTCTAGCTCGGTCGACACAACCCTCACCCTCCACGCACCCAAGACACACGCAGCACGCTCACACACCACCAAGTCCGGCACCCATAGCCAAACCATTCCCAGGGGTTCACCACCAGCATCACATCCTAGATATAATGCGAAGTGGAGTTAAAAGTAAGTATAGTGGTATAATATGCAAACAAGCAGGCAAGTAAGCATATATATAAGTGAGCGAAGGCGCAAAGCAGGGTGACATGGTAGAGTGGGTTGCATCAGGGTAATAATGGCTCAGGTAGTAGCATGCATCAAAGCGCTAGCAAGGAATAATTATAAAGCGCTAGCAGTTCTAGATATTATGCAATGTCTAATAGGATTATCTAAAAGATGGTGCTGCCATGACACCTGCGATGTCGAGGTAGTAGTGGTACAAATCTTCGTTAGTCAGTGTAGTCGATCAGCAAGGTCTCCTCCCAGGGTCCTTTCATCGATCACGTTCTCCTCCTCCATCGGGTTCCGATCCAATGTTGTCCTCGAGGCAATTACCTCCAAAACACACTCAAGACAAGAAAACAAACAATATTCCAAAAAGGCGACAAGACCCAGAAGGAACACAAAAAGGAAATGACTTGGCCCTTTCGGCTGATGTCCGATCCATGGGCCAAAGAAACAGGAGTGGTTGTTCACTAAGCGCGAGCTTTAAATCAAGGCCTAGCCTGTACTTCCCGGGCCAATTGTGGTCGACCTGTACAGCTTGAAGATAAATGGCCAAGACCTCAGCCCATCCTAAGCAAACACCACGGCTCGCGGTCTTTCGATCCGGGCGTCATAGAGATTGACGTGAATCGAAAGGAGCGGCTATGCAATTCCGGTCTCTCTCAATCCGTACGCCATTGTAATTGATGAGGACCAAGAAAGGGTGGGGCAAGAGAGAAAGGTATGGCAAAGGTCTACTCCTTCCTATACACACGCCATGGCAAAGGACGAGGCATCGGAAAGGAGCGACACACAAAAGGACACGAGTGCCCAATCCACTGGTAGGGTACTAGGACCTAGGTGCACTAAATGCACTAAGACACCCTAGGGTTCTTAGCGGTGTGGTTGTCACTGCAAGAACCACAGAAATGCTATGGTCCAAT